CGATAACAAAGTTCTAGCATCATTGTGCACTCTGAACGCGCAAAGCGAATCCGAAATGGAGTTACAGAACTTAAAAGCCTGCCAACAGCGCTTCATACATTCGAACAGATAAACGATGTCGTTAGCATACTCCAAATCGCACAGCTTTTCTCCAGCTGCCTATTCAATACCAACATTTTGAAGACCAATTAGTGCGCTCTCCAGTATTTCGTCTACGACGAAATTGAACAGGAACGATGAAAGAGGGCACCCTTGACGAGCATCGCTCCAGTTTTCGAACGATTTGTTTAGCTGAGCTCAGACCTCTATACTACCAGAAGTATGCAGATACAACGACCGCAATAGGTTTACATACTTCCGCGGTATTCCTTTGCGAACCAGTGCACCCATTCGGGCTTCGCAGTCAATTGAATCAAAGGTTCCTTGCGGTCAAAGAACACTATGATTGTTGATGGCCGACGTGTATGGCGTAACTCGATGACTTGACGCAACGTGAAGATTTGGTCGATGCAACCACGACTTTGTCGGAATCCTGGTTGGTGTACCCCAAGATCACGGTCGCCAATGGTTAGAGACACTAAGCGATTCGGCTGGATGTCGAAAACGGTGGAGCTCATGCATCTACTCATTACTTTTGTAAATTCAGTCTATAGAAATTCGCTATTTTTCGCTTGAATTTGCTCTCAGCACTCTAATCATTCTGCTGTTTTATCCAAATGGACAGCCAAAACCGGTGCACGAAAGTGCATGGTTAGTGGTTGCAAGAACTGAACTGAACCTGGTTGGTGTTTCCAACAGTAGTATAAGCTGCAGATCTGTATAGTAAAGAGTCTACTATCTAAGTTCTGTGACATGAAATGTTGGCACTGAAACAGTTGCCAGCAGAGCTATCTCTCCCACTCCATCCACAAAACAGAAGACTGTCAGAAACAAAGATCCACAGCCGATATGACTGATGTGAAACAAAGTTCACTCCACGGCATTCGAAGTACATTGCTCATATTTCCGGACGCACAACCGCCACCGAAATGAATTATTGTAATAAGCAGAGTGTGAATCAACATATGTTGTTCTGGACCTGTGGGACCGGAAAAAAACACGAATGAATCTAGTGAACCTCATTGATATAATTAGAATATGACTCCGTTTTCTAAGTAATTTATATAACCTTACACAAGTCATACAAATACACAGTATTTGGATATCTGTAAGAGCTCGCCAGTTATTCAAGGGGACGAAAGGACCCTAACCTGAAGGCTTCAGGTTATTGCCCTTGGACGTGAATACTGGGAAGTACATCACTTGATCCCGCATAAACGGAGGTATCTGTTTTGTCTAACCTAGAAACCAAAATCCGCAACATTCATCACCCAATCGCACCGGCAATTCAAGCTGATACATTGACACGTGGAGCTAATTTCCTTCGCAAACATTTATATCTCGTGTTACTCGGTGTCTAGTCCATTTGAATTTCCAGACAACAAACAGAATATACATGGGCTTTAATATTAGGAAGTTTGACTAATTCTGATTTGTTCGTATTGAGACTAAACGCATTCGTTCCGACACTCAGAAAACGAAACGTCACTTCCAAACATTCACATTTCGCTCCCCACCGAGTGAAAAGACTACCCCCCTACTGCCCCTAGTAGTCTTTTCCTGGAGAGTAAATCGTATTACGCTCAATTGTCTCAACATGAATTAGACATAGTTAAGCTTAGATTGAACTCAACAGTGTGGAAAAAGATTAAACAAAGTGTAAGTGGTTCTGATGTTCCCAGTAGTAGTAGTAGCAGTAGAATCTAAGGGTCAGGAATCTGTAAATATGAACGGATCTTTTCCTTTGGTCTGCACCCAAGTCTTATTTGCGGCTCCAAGAAGGTATTTATGCGTGGTAACAATCCGAATCCGATGAGGGCTTGGCGAACGAAATAATCGGAATGAGTGTAGGAACACGGTAGGTATTTGTTACACACCTCAGTGTGATGAACAGCAGACGGGGCTAACCCAATAGTCACGAGGACCTGCTGTTCAATGATGAAAACCTTTAACCCAAGCCCCGGGACTTGGAGTGGCGAACCACATAAGGCCCCGCTACGTGATGACAGCAAAGCTACCTACCACCACAGTCGGGTGGCGGTGCTCGAAACTCGGACCATAGGGTCCGAAGCACATCGGTGACAGGGACTAAACCACTGCGCTAAATCCATGCTTGTGGAATAGTTTCAGCAGAAGAAATCATATCCTTGATCCCAGGACATTAAGGACGGTCCGAGTTCAAGCATATCACTGCAAAAATTACTAGATTACGCTTGATTGTGTGAAGTCTAAAGGTGCAACCTCGAAGTATGTCCTCGTTCAGGACTTCAGTGAAACCAAACGGGTAACTCTCGATGCTACGGTACTCGCGATAACCAATGTGCATTGTGGATAGCCAAAATCCTGTATAGGGGGCATCGAGTCTAGTAGCATGGAGATAGCGGGACGTAAAAACGTATATGAAGCCCGATATTGAAAGGAAGATTGTTTAGCCCTATCTCAGGAACTCGTTTTGGAATGCCGTATTCATACATTCGGCTCTATCTCTATTGGGCTACAACTAAAATCAAATAAGTAATAACAGAATAAAAACACCTTGGAATTCGTCGAACAGTTAGTTCAAGGGCATTGTGATGAACATAACCTAAAGCCAGTCGATCCTGACGGGACCGCAGTGATACCAGGAGTGATTACAGGTTAGTATTCTTACGTTTTTATCGTGTATCATTGAGACAACAGTTTACACAACCATAGATTATCCAAAAGGAAACGGGTGTTTTCTTTACGAGTTATAGCTTGATTCAAACACGCAGGAAACAGGAACAGAAAAACAGTAGTCGATGAAAATGAATGGAATAATGTATATTTTAAATCAAAATAAAAGCTATATACACGTCTGGTAATCGATCTACAAAAGACGCCAATGTTCAATGGAAACACTATCTCCGTCGGAGGCCGGTCGTGATGGTCCTTGAGTATCCCCGGCGACAACTGGAACCATGGACTCTTCAACGGCATGTCGTGTTAATCTACCACGATAAGGGCCTAAGAACGTGGCGTCTGCTTCACACAAGGTAATCGCTTTGGTGTTAATCATAAACTGATTGGTCATTTCCGGATCTTTTAGACGAATGCGAACTAAGCTTCCACGGGGATAGTGTTGATTGGCCGGTTGTGGACAAACACAGTGAAACTTTCCGCCGAAATCGATATACAGATCAGTGTCGTTCACATTCTCGATTACTACTCCGATCACCTGTCAATGAAAAAGAAGAATGTCGTAAACGTTATGCACATCTGGAAACCGAATGCACCTTTGAAAGTAAGTGAACTTAGTTCAAAGGTTTAACGCCTTGGTATCTCAATGAAACACTCAAACATGTTTGAGCATGCCACCAGTAACCACAGCATCAACAAATGAATTATACAAGAACGATGATTTTTTGAACCTCAAAGATTTCCCCTGAGAAAAATGCACAGATGAAATTAAATTCATCCCGAGATAGTTAAAGCGTTACAATGCAGACAACCACTTGATTGCATGTGCGATAAAACTAAAGGCGTTCATAACGAGACCGCACCCTGATGCATTGAGTTCGTCTATGCCGTTCAGTGAGCTCAGTGTTTATAGAATGGATGGCGAGTGAAAAAGACCTGATCACACATTTCAAATTGCTAGATACATACCAAACCGATTGATTGTATTGCAATAATCATAAACCTTTTATTTCTTTTCATTCATTTAATCTTCAGAAAGGGGGCTGTGATTAATTAAGGGCTTCCTGGGAAAAAATAGAAACGAGAGAAAGGGGCGGTGATGGCAGGATTTGAACTCAGAACCCCCGAGTAGTTGGAACACGGACCTTAACCACCCTACGAACTAACAATATGGGTGGTTGGAATGAAAGCAATTGACTCACTGAATGTTAACTATAGATGTGATACAAACGATGAGTAGCGTAAAAGGAATCTGTCATTTTATATAAGGTACCTCAAAACCAATTTAAAAATGCTGTCAGTCCAGTTTCAAAATTCAATCTGTACTCACCTCTCTACCTTCGAAGTTACCCAGCTGGACAAAAGAACTGTGACGGAGTAGAGATGAAAATGTTGGCTCAGGATTCGTATCGCGTTTCGCGGGTAACTTCCGAACATTCATTTCCTGAAGCAAACGACTCATAGTCCAGGGTACAAAAGCTTGCGCAAAAGCCTTTGGGCGCTTGGTTTCAGTGGACTAAGGGTTCAGTATAAAATCAAGATCACAGTTACCTTGACTACAGTCCTCTCTTCTGATTCTGCTTGTGGTGGGGGAGCATTACACTGAGCGTCTGACAATTCAGCCTGAGTCTGCAGTTGTTCTTTGATAACTTTCTCCTCCGCTCTTTTGAAGAAATCGGCTAGTCTATCTGCTGCTTCTATTTGATCACAGTCTATCGGAGGCTTGGACTCAGAACTAAAGGCGCGCAAACCACGTGAGTGACCCAAAGGTACACGGAGAAGGCGTAACATCGTCGGACCTAAGAACTAAACGTAACAACTGTGTTAATCATAAACATTATAATTGTGCGTAACAAATGTGAACATTTTTTTAACACATGTCAGTGATAAATAGCTACAAAGAAAAATTTAATCGTCAAAGGTTATATCTGCTGTTCACTTAGGGTAACCAGCCATTTCAGATATGCAGTGACGAATCAGAAATTGCCACAGTTGATGTGATATAGAAGCAGATGACAGTGCGGTCAGCTAGCACCAAGATAGGGTGGCGATATCTTTTTATTATACACCTTAGTGTGGTGAACAGCAGACGGAGAAACTCCCATAGTCACGAGGACCTGCCGTTCAGTAAATGAGACCGGCAACCTAAGCCCCAGGACTCGGAGTGGAGAACCATATAAGGCCCCACTCAGTTAGAAGTGATATTTACTCGGATGACAGTAAAGCTACTACCACCAAAGTTGGGTGGCGGTGGTGGGGATCGAACCTCGAACTCTGACGTTCAAAGCACGCCGGTGACAGGGAAAAAACAACTGCACCACCACCCAATGTAGTCCCGATCTTAGTCCTGAGCGTGACAGGAACAGCTTAACTAATAGAATCAGAGGAAAAGTGAAAGCGTTCGCGCTTTCGGACGAACATTATCGGCAGTTAGCAATGTTTCATTTGAGGATTGTCGCTTAAAATGAGTGAACAACCGGTCTTGCGCGGCGTTTTAATCTATTTTTTCTTCATTTGGTGTGCTCGTCGATCTGGAAGTGTTGTTTGTAGATGTTTCGTATTCAGGCTAGATAAAATCATCAGTTTTGGAAACTGCAATAGGCACTAGTGAAGTTGCCCACAGCTCAGTGTCAGGCCCATTGCTATACCACAAGTTCAATACTGAACTGGTGGTAGGCAGCTTTGCTGTCATCCGCTCCAATATCACATCATCACCATCGTACAGCGAGATACAGTGAAGCGAACTTCACTGATCGCTCCCAAGCTCACAGTGTACACAAATCAAGTGATAAAGCTCAAGATGGAGAGGTATTGGTCCTACTTGGAGGGAGGCAAAGAAAAAGAACCTCTATGTTCAACACACAGAGCACACAATCTAAGTGTTCATGTATACTTTTTTCAAGCATTGTCTTGTTAAGAAATGACAACAACAGCGCCTCTGCTGTCGGTTAGTCGCCATATTCTTTAATGTCTCCAGCCAACCAGTTGTAGTCTTTCGGACCCCAACCTAGAAGACAGAAGACACCGATTCTACCTAATCGTTCTTTGCATTTCTTCATGCCTCG